CTCCTGCCTTTCTGTTAACCAGTTAAGTCACTGAGAATGTCATGCCCGATTCAAAGAAAGACATATATTCATTCCTGATTCAAAGAACTTCCTTTTTTTTTTTTTTTTTTTTTTTTTTTTTTAAAGCGTGCCTTAATGCTTCAGACCAATAGAAGTGAAATTTTGGAGCAAAGTCAGGAATCCAGACTCAGCTGAAAAGTCACGGCAGGAAGGTACCTTAGGCAAGCCTGCTAAGAGGTCACTCCACACAACAGATCTAAGGCAAGAGGTTTACTGGGGGAGGGAGGAGAGCAAAAGGCCATCCTGGAGTGAGAGAGACAGGCAGAAAGACTGGGATACAGAGAGAGCAGGAAGGGGGGGTCTTTTAAAGGAGACCACGTGACCTGGTGGAGGCTGGTAATGAAGCAAGCAGCTGCATGCTGCTGTCTCCGAGCACAGCATCTCATTTACAGCAGCCTGGCCCGCACAGCACCCTGGGATGGTGTTGAATATAGCATTTGCCTCGGCAGATCTTTGTGTTCCATCTCCACCACAAAACCAAAACGGACCTGGGACCCCAGTAGCGCTTGGTCTTAGGCAAAGGGCTCAGCAGGGCTTAGATCAAGGGTTAAGATGGGAAAACAAGACCAGAGCTGTTTGGTCTTAAACCAGGCATAGTGTTGTACATTCTATATCCCAGCCCTTGGAGGTGGAGGCAGAGACAGGTGGATCTCCGTGAATTTGAAGTCAGTCTGGTCTACAGAGCGAGTTCCAGGACAGTCGGTCTCTGGAATCTTGCTGGTGTCGGGTGGTGATGGCTGGTGTCCAACCTCAGCTGCTGACTATGACCCCAGTGCCTGCCATCCCATGAGTATCTCAGTCCAGCATCAACTCCATGGTAATCACGACTGTTTTTATTCCCCGCCTGCCCTGTTAGATTAAAAGTGCTCCTTGCCCAGCCCATTCTCCACAGGAGGTGTGTGAAGTCCTTGGCCGGTCACTCAGCCCCTCCCTGGGAACAGCCTCAGGCCACTGACACAGTCTCTGGAACTTTGTGGCTGGGGAAATCCTATCAGGGGGCTGTAAGGTCAGAGAGGTCTAGGTCACCTCAGAGGCTAAATGTGTTCCCTTTCTCTGCGCCCCCCCCCAGAAAGAAACATAGCTTTTCCCTCCATCCCACTTCCCCCCTTCGTACTCCTCCACTCAACGTGGCCATTTCCTCTTATCCAGCCAATCAGAAGCTTATTTCTAATCAGTATGCGAGATGGAGTGGAAACCTCATGCATGCTGGGCAAAGCTTTTGGACACTGACCCTATCACCATGATCACAGCGGTTCTTCACTTTCCTAACGCTGCACCCTTAATACAGTTCCTCATGGTGTGACCCTTGCCCAACTGTAAAATTATTTTCATAACTGTGATTTTTTTTTTACTGTTATGAATTGTAACGTAAATATCTATGCAGGATAGCTGATGCGAAACCCCCATGAAAGGGTCATTCAACCCCAAAGGGGTCGTGACCCACAGATTGAGAACCTCTGCCTACCAGGACATTCAACACTGGACCCCATGTGATGCGGTGCAGTCAAAGTGAAGGTCCAAGGGTTGAGCTGGGGGAAGGGAGGCGGCAGCTCAGTGACACATCACTTGCCTAACAGGTAAGTCCTGTTACACCAATGAACTTTATGTTTAGACTTGGGTCCCAGGGGCATGCTATATTTCATCATGAATATGTAAATATGCTTATGTATGTGTGCTATCCAAAACACATCTGGGGCCAAGCATTTTGGATAAGGGATGACCTACCTGTGACCCACCCAGAAGCTCTCCATTATCAAAGCAGCCACGTGACTCCAGGTCAGGGAGCGCTCAATAAAGTGCCCCAGAATTCTATCTATCCTCTCTATACATGCGGTCAGCTTCCTGAAGGCTTAGAAACATCCACCTGTGATCTTCCTGACTCTTATAACACCATAACAAATGGAGAAACGGGGGTGGGGGGACTGGAGAGATGGCTCAGCAGTTAAGAGCACTGGCTGCCTTTCCAGAGGACCCAGGTTCAAACACTCCCAGCACCCACATGGCAGCTCACAACTGTCTGTAAACTCAGTTTGGATGGGGAATCTAACACTGTCACATCAAGGTGCATAAAATTAAGTAAATTATTAAAAACAAAACAAAAAACAAATGGAGAAACAGATTCAGAGGGTATTAATGAGGGATTATCTAGGGTTGGACAGATGGCTCAGAGGTTAAGAACACTGCCTGCTCTTCCAAAGGTCTCTGAGTTCAATTCCCAGAATTGGTGGGAATTGGTGGGAACATGGTGGCTCACAACCATCTGTAATGAGATCTAGTGCCCTCTTCTGGATAGAAGGAATACATGCAGGCAGATCACTGTATATATAATAAATAAATAATATTTTTCTAGTAATTTTTTATTAATTTATAAATAATACCATTCAAAATTTCCACTTCCTTCCCTCCTCCCACTTCCCTTCCACTCCCCTATTTATTCTCCCCCTCTCCCCCTCCAGTCCTAAGAGAGGGAAGGGTATCCAGTCCTGTGGGAAGTCCAAGGCCCTCCCAATAAATAATATCTTTTTTTTTTTTTAAAGAAGGGTTATCTAGATCAGGTTGCCTGTGGGCAGGTCTGTCAGGGACTGTCAAGCTTGCAGGAAGACCCAGCCTACTGTGGGCAGCACCATTCTCTAGGCAGGGGGTCCACAGTAGTCTAAGAGAAGAGGAGAAAGCTCACTGAGAGCAAGCAAGCAAAGAACCATGCATTTATTCTCTTTCTGCTTTTGACGCTCCAAGTTCCTGCCTTGACTTCCAAAGTAACGGTCTATCCTGGGGTTATAAGTTGAATAAACTCTTTCTTCCTTAAGTTATTATTCATTTTGGTCATAGCAACAGCAGTGAACAGAGAACTGAATAGAGTTTGATCATTTTCCCAAGGTCTTGAGGAAAGAGATTTGTTTTTTCTCTTTTTTCCCCCCCCCGAGACAAGGTTTCTCTGTGGGTTTTGGTGCCCGTCCTGGAACTAGCTCTTGTAGACCAGGCTGACCTCAAACTCACAGAGATCCGGCCTTGAGGCAGATGATGGCAAGTATTTGAGTTAATGCTGCCTAGGATGCCTTCCTAACAACCGACTTTTTTACCTCGTGATGTTCTCTGGAAGCCTCGGCTTAAGCATTCCTAAGTAGGATAGGAACTCCCACCCAACAGGATGACGATTAGAACAGGCGCCGGCATCTGAAAGTTACATAGCCCTGAAGAAAGTTCTCTCCTCCAGTGCGGCAGCTGACAATTGCAGCAACTGGCCACAAGAGAGCAGTCACACGCCGAAAAATCTGCGCTGTCACTCTTTCTACGGTGGCGGGTTCTATTGAACCTTTCCTCCCTTGTTTGACCCTGGGATCAAGGGCATTTCTCACCGCCCTAGAACCTTAAACTGACCTGCCAGGTTTAGAAGTTAAGGCCTAAGGACCCTTTAGCAGTATCAGTTCTGCTGCAGGAGGGGGTTTAAGGGTGATCCAGCTGTGTCCCATTTGGAGGTGGCAGTGGTTGGGGAGGCGGCAATTACCAACAGTTTCCCTCCCGCTGGGGGCTGGGACACAGCTGCAGGGTGTGTGTATGTGGGGGGGGGGGGTTGACAAGGAGGGCTTTGGAATTGTCTCCCTAGGGGTTTCCATGGCTACAGATTGATGCAAGCAGCCCACTAGGCTGTGTCCTTTATCTATATTGTCTCTGGGGTAGACAATGGACCTTGGGGGTTGCTTGGCTGTATGTATGGCCTTGTGTGCCCTCTGCATGAGCCCTCTGACCCCAGATGCTGAGGCTGAGGGAGGTGGGTGAGGGGGGCAGTCTTGGTAGTCAGCCTTGCTTTGGGGTACCAGATGGAGGCTCCCTAACAACAAAGCCCAGAGCACTAAATAAAAGGCTGGAGGGGACTAGCTTTGACATACCCCTGCCACTGTCCCTTCCTGGCTGTGTGACTTGGGCAAGTTATTTCATCTACAAGAGTCTCAGTGCCCTCAACACATGAAGACAACACCTGTTTTATTAAATTGCTGAGGAAGATGTCAGGCCAAAAGCCCACATACAAGGTCCTCAGGGTGAATGAGTTCAGAGAAGTTGAGGCATGCCTTGGGACATGGGCCTCAGGTGCCCATCTATGGCTTGCAGACTTAGAAAGGCTTAAAGCATGAAATGCAATGATGAATTTACAAAAAATTCTGGCCGGGTGGTGGTGGCACACGCCTTTAATCCAGCACTTGGGAGGTAGAGGCAGGTGGATCTCTGTGAGTTCGAGGCCAGCCTGGTCTACAAAGCGAATGCCAGGACAGCCAGGACTTTACACAGAGAAACCATGCCTCAAAAAAACAAAACAAAACAAAGAAATTCTTAGGAGGTTGAAGGTGTAATTGAGTTTCAGATTGTCTAGTAAGTACAAGGCTTTTTTGTTTTGTTTTGTTTTAAGATTTGTTATATGTACAGTGCCCTGTCTGCGTGTATCCCTGCAGGCCAGAAGAACACACCAGATTTCACTACAGATGGTTGTGAGCCATCAAGTGGTTTCTGGGAATTGAACTCAGGATCTTTGGAAGAGCAGTCAGTGCTCTTAACCTCTGAACCATCTCTCCAGCCCCAATATTACTTTGATACCCAGCAACAAAATAATGGCAATAATGTTATTTGAGGCAGGATTTCTGTGTAGTCCTAGCTGTTCTGGAAGTCACTCTGTAGACCAGGCTGACCTCGAACTCAGAGATCTACTTGTCTCTGCCTCCTAAGTGCTAGGATTAAACACACCCATGCACCCACCCCCAGCTAATTTCTCACTCTCTCTCTAATCTCTGTGTGTGTGTGTGTGTGTGTGTGTGTGTGTGTGTGTGTGTGTGTGTGTAGAGGTCAGTGGTTGACAATGAGTGCTTTTCTCAGTCACCATCAACTTTTTTTTTTAAGGGTTAGTATTTTAAGTTGTATTTGATGTGTGGGTGTTCTGCTTTACGAATGTATGTGCATAGCATGAAACTGCCACCTGCAGAGGTCAGACGAGAGCCTGGGAGCCCCTGGAAGAGTTAAGAGCTGACAACTAGGCCCTAGAAACAGAACTCAGGTCCTCTGCAAGCACAGCAGGGACTTTAAACCACTGAGCATCTCGCCGCCCACACACATGATGTTTTTGAAAGTGAGTCTCTCGTTGAACCTGGAGCTCACTGACTCTGTCGAACTACAGGTGGCCACCAAGCTCCAAGGGCCCCCACTGAGCCCAGTGAGAAGACAAGGGTGCTGCCCTGGCCTTACCTGGGTGCTGGAGATTGAACTTGGATCTTCATGCTTGCCCAGCAGGTGCTTTTCCAAATAAGCCATCTTGCTGGTCCAAGTCTGGTCTGTTTGCTTGGTTTTTTTGTTTTTTTTTGTTTTTTCTTTTTTTAATTTCTTCTCCTCCTTCCTCAACAGGGTATCACTGTCGCCTGGCTGGCCTGAAACACACTACGTAGACCAGACTGGCTTCATACTCACAGTCATCCATCCTCCTGTGCTTCCTGAGTGCTGGGATTAAAGGCGAGTGCCACCACGCCCTGATCTCTTTGTGTGTGTGTGTGTGTGTGTGTGTGTGTGTGTGTGTGTGATTGTTTTAAATCATGTGAATGTGTCTGTGTGTGCCCACAGAGGCCAGAGGTTGACTGTTGGGGTACAGGCAGTTGTCAATTTCCTATGAGTACTGGGAACTGAACTCAGGTCCTCTGCAGGAGCGGTAATGGCGCTCTTGACCACTGAGTGATCTCTCCAGGTTTCTGTCTCTGTCTCTCTCCTGCTTGGTACTGACAAGCTTTACACGGCATTGGAAGATGCAACACACGGTCAGGGCACCATGGGACGCTCATAGTGGTCAAGCCTTCGGGGACATGGAAGCTCGGGACCTTTTTCTGAAGAGGGTGGGGCTTGACCAGCGGGTTGAGGGTCTCAGGATGGGGGAAGCTTTGCAGAAGGAGCTGCAACGCTGTGGGAGGGAGAAGAGCAGCTCAGAGGGCTTTGTCCCTAGCTGACCAGATCTCAGAGGGTCACTGCTGCCCTCTGCAACAGATGTGTGCATGAGAGAGGAGGGAAGGAAGGGGTGGGAAGCTATTATCACTATGTCCCATTCCTGGGACTCCTTTATTTGCGACCAGTTGATCATTAATCCACGTATAACAAGGATATATAGATCGGGGGGGGGGGGGCTAGGAGCTGGGCAAGCACCGTTCCTACCACACGGTCAACCCAGCACTGCCATGCTGCTCTCCAGCTGATTTGGCCCCAGATGCATAAGGATCAGAATTAAAATGACCTCATCTGCATGTGAGAAACACAAAGAGACAAAGTAGAACAGATTTTTTTTTTTTTTTTTGGTATTAAAAAAACAATGCAGGGGCTGGAGAGCTGGCTCAGTGATTCAAGCACGGGCTGCTCTTCCAAAGGGCTCAGCACCCATGTGACAGATCACAACTGTCTGTAACTCCAAGATCTGACACCCTCATACGGACACACATGCAGGAAAAACACCAATGCACATAAAATAAAAATAAATAGCTATATATAAAAAACCAACACAATACAAACGGAGTTTCAGTGTTTAGGGAGGATAAATGAAGCCCTAGGTTTGATCGTCAGCACTTCGTAACCCTGTGATGTTATAACCATGTAATCCCAGCACTCCAGAGGTACAGGCAGGAGGATTAGAAGTTCACGGTCATCCTTGACTACATATTAAATTCAAGGATAGCTTAGGCTACGTGAGCCTCTGAAAACAAAACAAAAAACAACCAAAAACAACACTGCAGAAAGCGGAACACGGTGATGGCTCAGACCTATAATCCCAGCAACTGAGAGTCAAACAGAAAGCTTGCTGAGGATGAGGCCAGCCTGGCCACATAACAAGCTCCAGGCTAGCTTAGACTAGAGTGAGAACCTGTCTCAGAGAAGCAAAAGCAGGCCTGTGGTGGTGGCTGTGCACACCTGTAATCCCAGCACTTGGGAGGTGGAAGCGGGCAGGAGGCCAGCCTGGTCTACAAAGCCAGTTCTACAGCCAGGACTGTTACACAGAGAAACCCTGTCTCAAACACCAAACCAAAACAACAACAAAACCACACAAAGATATTTAAGATACGGAATCAACCAAGAAAATTTAAAGGCTTCCCACTTAAAGATAAAAGACTTTCAAGAAGATGTTCTCAAAGTTCATTGTGCATCCTTAGCTTCTGAATATAAATTTGTGCGCTGTTGTGACAATGCACACAGGAAGGGCAGAAGACAGATTTTAGGGCCTTTCTGTTCTTGTTTTTGAGACAGGGTTTCTCTGAAGCTTCAGAGTCTGTCCTGGAGCTAGCTCTTGTAGACCAGGCTGGTCTCAAACTCACAAAGATCTGCCTGTCTCTGCCTCCTGAGTGCTGGGATCAAAGGCGTGCGCCACCACCGCCCGGCTTTTTCCCTTTCTGTTCTTTCACTGTGGGCTCTAGGACTCCGACTCAGGTCATCAGGCTGGCACAGCAGGCACATTTATGACAGAACCATGTTGCCAAGTCCAACGTGTGTGCAGCACAGATCTTGTACAACCAAGTGTTCAACAATGAATGTTGCCACTTTAAGCGTTATTGAGTTTATCACTACACCACCCCAACGCTGAGGCCCAGGGGTAAGCAACCACGTCCTATCACTGAGAATGCCGACATGTGTGTGTGTGTGTGTGTGTGTGTGTGTGTGTGTGTGTGAGAGAGAGAGAGACAGAGACAGAGACAGAGACAGACAGAGAAAGAGACTTTTGGCTGGTCCCACAGCTTTACATATACCACCTCAGTGAGTTCTCAAAATAATCTTGGTTTTGCTTTGCCCTGGTTGGTTGAGACAGATGCTTGCTATGTAGCTCAGGCTAAACTTTTTACTGATCTTCCTGCCTACGACCCGTGGGTGATAGGATTGCAGGAGTGCACAGCTGTGCCTGGGTTCAGAATTACTGGGTGGGTGGGGGCACTAGGGTGATAGTCTGGAGGGAGAGGGTTTGCAAGCACACCAGAGTCCCTGGGTTCAATTCCCAGTACCATAGACAGCACACACACACACCTCTCAGGAGAATGATCCTTCTCTTTTCTGTCCCATGTTAGAGTGAAAACCCAATCTCGGTGATCTTCACTCTTCATTCTTTTATCCAGACATATTTAATCTCTTATTCACATTTGGAGATGAAATAAAATAAGTTTATGGGGAAAGACTTTCATTGGCTTAACTGGGGTGTTAAGAGGTAATAAGTCAATCTATTTATGTAAGGCACAAAGACTTTATTTCATTTCCTTAAAATGATTTTTACTCACCTGAAAACAAGCCGGGTGTCTGAGAACTCTCGTTGCTGGACTCTTGGCAGGAACTCCCTTTCAGGAACTTTCTACACTTTCTGTGGACTTTGCAAGAACCTGGAAAGGACTGGAGATGAGGCTCAGTGGAAGAACACTTGCTTAGCATGCACAAGGCTGTGGGTTCAATTCCCAGCACTACACAAAAGAACCCCAAAATGTAGAGATGCTGGACCCCCTTTCACAGGAGAGACGAGAAAGGGCTGAGTCTGAGGGAGGTGATGATCTCTGCAGAGTCGCAGGGCAGGAGGGGGACAGAGCCACGGCTGGTGGCGGCCATGTCTCCCTCAGAGCCTGCTGGGGAGAGTGGAGCAGCCTCCAGCTCCTTGAAGCCCCTTTCCAGCCCTTCTGGAAAGGAGCCATGGTGGCTCGGGCTTCTCAGAGCATGTGTGTCCGCAGGCTTGTGTGCTCATGTAGGCACATGTGTGGCTATGTGAAGCTGGCTTGGTGCCTGGCCTCACAAAACCATGTGATAAAAATCTGGTATATCTTCCTGAGATGTCAATTCAACTTAAAGAACCAAACAGAAAAGAGATGCCACATTTTTACATGACAGCACAGATGGCTACAGAATGTGTGAGCAGTGACTTCTCAGGGCACACCAAGATGATGAGGGACAGCTAGGCGGAGGAAGGGTACCACATGCTAACTGGCTCTCAGATCTCTCCGTGGGAGAAACGACTGCCGCTCCCATTACATAGCTGTAGATGCTGGGGTCAGAAACAGTTAAGTCATATGTCCAAATCCACATAGCCGGCGAGTGGGAAAGCCTGTAACTCACAGGCATTTAATGTGAGACTATTAGAATATCTGTATTAGCCATCACTTGTTCAAACGGAAATTTTACCAGAATCGTGTATGAAGGTGATCACTGCAAGCAGAGAGGGAAGAAATAGTTGGTAGAGCACTTGCCTAGCAACACCCAACATTGTACACCAGGCACTGGGCAGTAAGATGGCTCACCAAGTAAAAGTGCCTGCCACCAAGACCAACATCTCGAGCTCAATCCTTAGGACTCACTTGGTGGAAGAGAACTGGCTTCTGCGAGTTGTCCTCGGATGTCCCTCCACAGGCTGTGGCCTAGAAGCGCCCAAACGCACACAAGATTTTGCAAATAATAATAAATTATGAAATTAAAGACATGTGTACATGTCTGTGATTCCAACACTTAGGAGGTAGAGGCAGGAGGGTCAAAAGTTTAAGGTCAGGCTGCAAAGATGGTTCAGTGCTTCCAGAGGACTCAGGTTGGATTTCCAGTACCCATGGGGCTGCCGAAAACCAGCTGTAACTCCCATTTCAGGGGCTCTGATGCCCTCTTCTGGTCGCCTCAGACACTGCATGCATGTGTTGTGCAGACCTACATGTGGCAAAATAGTCATACACAAAAAGTAAAAATAAATAGGCCTTTTTTTTAAAAAAGCTCAAGTTTAATCCCGACACTAGGGAGGCAGAGGCAGGCAGATCTCTGTGAGTTCGAGGGCAAGCGTGGTCTACAGAGAGAGTTCCAGGACAGCCAGGGCTACACAGAGAAACCCTGTCTCAAAATGCAAAACAAAAAGTTCAAGGTCAAAGGCTAGATAGAGAGTTGAAGAGCAGCCTAGAAGGAAAAAAGAGGAGGGGAGGGAGGGGAAAGCAAGACAGAGAGGTGGGACAAGTGGCCTCCCATGGGTCCCTCTGGCTAGATAGATAATGGCTGTCCACAGTGAACAGTCACCTAGACCACGTGACCATGCACGCTACTACTGTGTGACCCCTAGAGTTCGGCTTTTTTTTTTTTTTTAAGGCAGATTTTATTTTATGTTTTTTGTGAACTTTTTTTTTGGTAAGATTTACTTAGTATGTACATAGTGTTCTGTCTGCAGGCCAGAAGAGGGCGCCAGATCTCATTACAGATGGTTGTGAGCCACCATATGGTTGCTGGGAATTGAACTCAGGACCTCTGGAAGAGCAGCCAGTGCTCTTAAGCCATCTCTCCAGCCCCCAAGTTGGGCTTTTTTTTTTTTTAAGACAAGGTTTCTCTGTGTAGCTTTGGAGCCTGCCCTGGAACTCACTTTATAGACCAGGCTGATCTCGAACTCACTGAGATCCATCCGCCTCTGCCTCCCAAGTGCTGGGATTAAAGGTGTGTGCCATCACACCGGCAAGAGTCTGGCTTTTATTTCCAGGTCTGTGAGTACTTCTTTTCCATATGACCTTGCG